AAAGCTAATTCCAACCCCCCTTTTCAATCCTGTATTTTGGTAAATCACCCGAATTATAGCGGAGTACTCCGTACAGAGGTACTCATAAAAGTTTTTTAATCTTTAAACAAGATTCCATATTACATTATTGTCCTTCCTCTAATTAAACTTAGCCAATTTCTCCGCATGTTCTGTGCGTTGATTTCATTAAACTTAGCCAATTTCTCCGATTGTTCTGTGCGTTGATTTCTTTGCTCTAGCCTGCGATTTCTCAGCATCTATGGGATGCTCTCCCGATCGACACCATCAATGCATGTGCTCTCCTGATCGAAGTCATTGCAGTGGTTCCTCCAGCCATGACGAGTAACCTCCTCCCCGCCATTAATCCTTCTTCCTGTTTTTTTCCTTCTCCTTCCCATCCTCTTCGATTTTTGGGTCCTCTGTTTTCTTCTTCTGTAGATTTCAATTTTATTTATTTATTTAATAGCTTTGATAAATTTGGATCCTCATAATGCCATAAATTACAAGCAATCAGAAAAATGTCACTTTTATGACATTACATTTATCAAGATGACAGTATGTCATGAAGCTGACATTACTCAAAAACATGGCAGTCGCTCCCCTCCTTTCATATTTTAAATATGTCATTTTTGTTCTGAAAATTTCATGATGATGACATTATTACTGTTTGGAAATGTCATTTTCTTCTTTGAAATTGTCACCTTGATAAATGTAATGTCAGAAAAGTGACATTATTACAAATTAGTGGTCAATTAAACATCAACTAGACAACTATGGCATTTTTCAGATTGAAGTGATGAGAACAATAATATTAATCCTTTAAAATTTTGGAAATTCAAAAGAACATAGAAGAGTGGTAGAAGAATATTTTTTTATATTGAAAATAGGGTAAAAGTACAATAATGAGAGAGAATCTCCCGCTTCTCACTGAAACTCCGGTGACTCCTCAATGAATCTGTACAAGAACGTGGAAATCCGCAAATCCGCAAATCCGCAATGAAGATGGTCACACATCGCTTACCTGTATACCTATTCAAGAAGCTACCTAGTTCACAAACATCTGGATAGACCAACACAACAACAACATCCAAGCCATAGTCCCAAAAGATATTGTGGTTGGTAAACATGAATCGATACATGATAACACCACCAAAAGGAAAAAAAAGAAATAAAAGATAAACAATAAGCTATTATAAAAACGATAATATAAAACGGGATGAATATACTTAAAAATGATAAAATAAAAAGTATAAAAATAATGTTTATATGTATAAGGATAAAAGAATAAAAAACAAGAAGAAAAAATATGAGAGGAAATAGTAATAATACGAGATCAACCCTCCACACAATCGCGAATATCCGCCCTCCACTTTTCTCTCTCCAAAGTCATACCCTCATCCAACCCAAAAAGAAGCATATCACTTCGGACTGCCCTAACCCACGTCTGTTTGGATCTTCCTCTCCCTCTCTTCCCTGCCTCTTCTCCACACATCTCAACACGTCTGATAGGTGCATCATTTGGTCTTCTACGCACATGACCAAACCACCATAGGCAAGACTCCCGCATCTTGTCTTCAATAGGTGCTACTCCCACCCTTTGTCTGATTGTCTCATTTCTCACGTGGTCGTTCCTAGTATGCCTACACATCAAACGCAACATGCGCATCTCTGCCACACTCATCTTTTGGATGTGACATTGTTTCACCACCCAACATGTACTCTACGCCATACAGCAATGCAGACCTAATTGTTGTCCTATAAAATTTACCCTTCAGTCTGGTTGGCATACCTCTATCACATAGAAATCCTGACGCACTCTTCCACTTCATCCACACTATTCTGATTCTATGGGATACATCTCCATCTAGCTCACCGTCCTTCTGAATATGGAGCCCAAGTAACAGAACATATCACTGATCGATATCTCCTTATCATCTAGAGTAATTCCACTATTACCACTGCTTCTACCTCCACCAAACTTGCACTCCATGTACTCTTTGCTCCGACTTAGTCTGAAACCCTTATTCTCCAATGTTTGTCGCCACACTTCCAACTTTGCTTTAAGAGCTGATTGCGTCTCATCAATCATTACAATATTGTCGGCAAACATCATGCACCACGGTATTTCTTCTTGAATTGACTTCGTAAGTTCATCCATGACTATGACAAATAAGAAAGGGCTCAGAGCCGATCCTTGGTACACTCCGATAGTAATAGGGAACTCCGCAGTCCTCCTTACATTAATACGAACACTTATAGTACAATCCTCATACATATCCATGATGATGCTGTTATACTTGCGCAAGGCCGTCTTTTAGGAGGTGCAATAGGTGCTTCACACCGGGGTCCACGTTTATAGGGGGCCTCCAAATTTTTAGTTTGTAGTATTAACTATAGCCTGTAGGTTGATTTTTCTAGATATTGTGTATTATTTCAAATTCTAAAACATGTATAACTTTTAGTTTTTATAAATTGAAAAAAGGAACATTGTTTTTACATAACCATACATTTTTTTTGTACAATTAATTAATTTAACTAGAGCAGTACTTTCTAAATTCCCAATGGCTAGTACTTATGTACGTAGGGTTGTGTCGGGTAGGACTTGTTTTACTCCCAAAACATTATATAAAACTTATACTTCATTGACTTTTTTTATTTCATTGTTAAATTTGTTATATTCTATTGTTTTAGGGGGCCTCAATTTGCTATTTCGAACCGGGGCCTCCAAATTCTTTAGACGGCCCTGTACTTGCGTGATATGCCTTTTCTAGTTAAGGCCCACCAAAGAACTTCTCGAGGTACCCTGTCATAAGCCTTTTCTAAGTTGATGAACACCAAATGCAGATCCTTGTTTGCGTCTCTATACTTCTCCATAAGCTGCCGAAGAAGGTGGATGGCCTCAGTTGTTGACAGACCAGACATAAAACCGAATTCATTCTCTGAAATCTTCACAGTTCTTCGAAGTCTTTGCTCAATCAGTCGCTCCCAAAGTTTCATGGTGTGGCTCATAAGCTTAATCCCTCGATAGTTGGCACATTCTTGTACATCACCTTTATTCTTGAATAAGGGTATAAGAGTACTCTTCCTCCAACTCGTTGGCATCTTGTTGTTTCTCCAAATCATGTTGAAGAAACTTGTTAACCACTCGACGCCTCTCTCTCCCAAACTTCTCCAAGCCTCGATCGGTATGCCATCTGGTCCCACCGCTTTCTTCCGCTCCATCTTCCTCAGAGCCTCCTTAACTTCCGTTGTTTGGATGCTTCTCACAAAATCACGATTTACCATACAATCTGGTATGGTCAAATCACTGATATCTTGTGCTTTGTTCTCGTTGAAAAGTGTATCAAAGTAAGACCTTCGATCACCTCTCTTTTATCTCCCCGTCCTCCATTAGTACCCTTTGATTGACATCCTTCACACACTTCACTTTTCCTATATCTCGAGTCCTACGGTCACGAAGACGAGCAAGTTTGTAAATATCTTTTTCTCCTTCCTTAGAGTCCAATTTTGCATACACTTCCTTGTTCACTTTTCCTCTTGCTTCCTTTACAACTTTAATTTCTTTGCTCTTCTTCTAGCCTCCTTGTACTCCTCTATGTTCTCGTCGCTCCAACTTTTGCCCAATTTCTTATAACGTTTCCTTTTGATCCTCATTGCTTGTTTCACCTCATCATTCCACCAAGATGTGTCCTTTTTTGGTGGTAGACATCCTTTAGATTCTCCAAGTATCTCTTTCGCCACTTTGTTAAAGGTGGATTCTATTGATAACCACACATCATCCACATGTGTGTCATTATCAAACAAAAACCATACTATATTTTGATTTTGTTCAGATATATTCGGTTCATTTCAATTTGATTTGTTATTTTAAAAATGTATTAAGAATTTATTGACTGTTTGAGTTTGGCTTGACCTTATTTATTTTTTCACAATTTTGATTACATTTAGTTTGGTTTTATTCGATTTAGAAGTTAAGGCATACTACCAAACTCAAACTAAATTGCATATGGTTTGATTTCGATTCAATTTGGTACCATTCGATTCACTAAAACCGAACCGATTTGCCGACCACTAAAAAACACCCATGAAAGCTCACTTTCTCATAAGTGGCATCTCTTGAAGTCAAGTCAAATAGTACTTATTGAGACCCCATTAGGTAACATTACAATTTGTAGAATCGGTTAGAACTTTCGAGATTGTCAAATTCTGACTGAATTTGCTAATTCTCCTAAATTATGACAATGTTATACTCCGTATTAAAATGTATTTAATTAATAAAATAAAAAGTTAGATTAAAATTAATGTGATCTTTTCTTAATCTTTTACTATATATATTCATCTTTTATCAAATTTGTGTTTTTCTATGTTTACAAGAACTTTAATGTAGTTTCTGAATATGTAAATTTTATCTACTAAAAAAATTATTATTAACAAGGGTTACTTAACTTTATGACCCGTCAAACATCGTAAACTCAATGAGAACCTTTATCCGGACCGGATGTAGTATAAAATATTCACTCGACCTCTTTTTTATTTGAGTAATGTGAGTTTGTTTTTACCGTGCGTGTTGCACGGGTTTATCGTCTAGTTAAATTAAAAGGGAAGAAATAAGGGTAAATGGGTAATCTAATCCTATTTGGGGAACAAAAATATACATGGTCCTATTTGGAAATTTCAGCAACAATTTAGTCCCATTTAGGACAATAAGTCTTTACAAAACTGTTAATCTTACAAGCTATATATTCATAACAACTATCCACGAGGTATATGCAAAAAACAACTATCGTCTATCCACGAGGTACTTCAATAAATACAGCTCACATATGAGATTCACGAAAAATGTTTCAAGTAATAGGAGGACATTTTTAATGTTTATTTGGTTAATTAGCTAAATATTTTGCTCGTTCCTTAGCTTCCGATTAAAGTTTGGTAAGTTTGAAGAGTTTATGAAATAAGAAAGTCATCAGAGTCATATATCTAATTAAATTTCTGCTAAGGAATGATCGAGAAACAATAAGAATTATAAATTAATTATTGAATGCCAAATATTTTGGTAGAATTAGAAAAGGAAACTCAGCAGAGTCTAAGAAACGTAGCATGCAAAAATTCAGCTTTAGGGAAAATCAAGAATTAATTACCATCATCTCCCACTACTTAATGATCTAGAAAATGGCTCCATGCTTTCTCCATCACTTTTATTCCCACCACAGGTGAACGAATCTCTGACATTATTAATTGCATGAGAAGATGAAGACGCAGAAAGATGGTCAAACTCTTTTGCAGAAATTTCATTTTTCCTTGATCCTGTGACAAAGTTCCTCTCAAGAACTATCAATCCCTCTATTTCCATTGCCACTTGTTTCATAGTCGGCCTATCATCCCTCCTCACCTTCAAACACTGGCTCGCAATTTTCGCAACTTCATTAAATTGCTCAAAGTTTACATCGTTAACTATCCGATTATCCACAATTTCGGACAAGCGCCCATTGTTCAGAGAAGAAACTAAATAAGCCCCTAGATTCCTATCATCCTCTTCCCTAGTAGGCGAAATTGCTTTCTCTCCTGTTAACAGCTCTGCGAGAACAACCCCGAAACTATAAACGTCACTTTTATCTGTCAATTGGCCTGTGTGGAAGTATTCTGGGTCAAGATATCCAAAAGTTCCTTGAACTAAAGTTGTGACTTGAGTTCGGTTCAGAGGGACAAGCCTTGAAGCTCCAAAGTCACCGACTTTTGCGGTAAGCGTATCATCTAGTAGTATATTTGCTGTCTTTACATCTCTGTGAATGATTGGGGGAGAAGCTGCTGAGTGTAAATATGAAAGCGCGCCTGCTGATTCTGATGCCACTCTTAAACGGACTGCCCATGAAAGAATAGATGATTGCACCTCTGTATGGAGATGCTCATAGAGAGTGCCATTGGTTATAAACTCATAAACTAGTAATGGAACTTCAGTCTCTAAACAACACCCAAAGAGCTTGACAACATTTCTATGATTGATTTGTGAGAGAACGACGACCTCATTGATGAACTGTTCCACTTGACTTTTCTCACAAATCTTGGACTTTTTTATTGCAACCACACCCGTATCAGTGAGTACACCTTTATAAACTGTTCCATATCCTCCTTGACCCAAGACATTTTTTTCATCAAAATTGTTGGTCGCTTTCTCAAGATCCTCCAGTGTGAAGATTTTCATTCTTATATCGCTTGGTCCTCCATTTCTAGCTATTTGTTGCTGTAACAATATGCCACCATTTTGTTGAAAAAAATGCTCTCTAAGTTTGCTAAGTCTCCTCTTCCTCAATCCCCAATATATGAAGAAGCTTACTACGACCAATGATGTGACAGCAACACTCACACCTGTGTATCACAAATTGAAGTACCATAATATATTTATAGCCTTCTTGTAAATACTACCTAGTACGTACCAATTAAGTACATCAGCCCATCAGGTACATGTTACCACCACTCTCTGTTAACTTTCCTTTTAGTTGTTCTGAAAACTTTGTTTGTCCTTTAATGATAGTAATTTGAGAGAATTAATTATTATCTATTCTACAATGGGATGGGGAAGTATTTAATATGTATACCCCATTCGTCCTTGAATTTACTCGATGAGAAGTTTAAGGAAATAAAGATCTTTTTTATCTTTAAAAAGGAAAGAGAAAAATGGTTAAACACATCTCATTTTCCGTAAAAAGAATTGAGCAATATATAATTTTGAGATGGACGAAAAAAGATATATATAAGGTAAAAATATAGACAACTCTATATATAGAGTATGTGACTTTTTAATAAAATAAATAATGACAAACAAGGTTTAACATATATATATATATATATATATATTAATATATAGAGTATGTGACTTTTTAATAAAATAAATAATGACAAATATGTAACCGAAATAAAGATAGTGGATAAAATTGTTACTTTTGATAGTTTAGTGATTATATATCATAATAATTTTGGTGATAACGATTGTGTTCAACTTTATGTTATAGTTACAACACATATTATTAATAGAAATACCTATATCGGTAAGTTTTATTTATATTTAAGGAAAAAAATCTTAATAAAATTGTGCCTAATTTTGACTATAAAAAGTCTTGCTTTTTTAATTTCTCAAAATATTCTTCAAATGGAATACTCATAAGTAAAGAGTATCTATACTATTGATAAACAGTTCAATTGTTGTTCCGAACATTGATGAATGGATGTTAATGTCTCTAATCTTTTTATTTTCTTTTATTTAAAAGATAAAGGTTTAAATATGTTTTTAGTCCCTGCAAATATAGTACATGTTGTTTTACATCCCTGCAAAATTATTTTTTTGTTTTTCGTCCCTGCAATTTAGGTTGGTTTTCTTTTAGGTCATCACTGATGATAACAACCTTCGTTGGACCTCAAAATAACCCTGATTAATAGATTTCCTCTAATTCTTTGTCATGTTATTAAAAAAGTATTTAATTTTATTTTTTCAAGGTTTTTAATATATATTTTTAAAATGTGAAAAGTAGTTTTACATTGTTTTGACTCTCATATTAGCCACACAAAAAAAAAATTAAAAGGACAAATTTAAATATTTCTAATAGATTTGTGTAATAGACAGTAACTTTTTTGTGAGTAGATTAGTTTCCGAATCAGAGATGGACCAAAAACAAAATAGTCCATATTGCAGGGATGAAAAATAAAAAAAATATTTTGCAGGGACTTAAAACAAATTATGTCATATTTGCAGGGACAAAAAACATATTTAAGCCAAAGATAAGAGAGCTAGCTAGATCACTTACTCGAACCAATTATAGGCACGTGACTAGGTTTGTGGGTACATTTTGTTCCTTTTTTTTGCCCATCTCCTTCATATCCTTTCAGGCACAAACAAGTGTAGCCACCATCATGGTTCTTACAAATTGCACTTTCCACGCAAGGGTAATCAGGTGCCGTTTTATTGCTGCATTCGTCTACATCTATAAGAAGAAACGGAGCATAAATCAATAACAACATTGAGAGAAACTTTAGAGCACATTAAAAAACAATGTGTATAACTATGAATGATTATGATGCCAAAAAAAAAAAACTATGAATGATTTAGAATGCCATGGAAAGACAGAAAATAATATCGGGTTTTAAGAAGAAAACTAGCAAATTTGACAAAGTTGTCTCACTTATTACTTTCTTGCGCAGTTGTGCATTTGAAAATCTAAGGATTATGAGCTTATTTTATTCCAAACTATTATCAAATTCATAAATCTATCCTATTTTTTCACTTTTATAAAAAAATGCTCAAACTTCATATTTTTCAACAATTATGCTTTTCTTTTTTATTTTTTTTCAAAATTACATATTTTTACCAATGCTATTAAGACATAAGCAATACAAATTTCAAACTTAAAACTAGAAAGAAGTGAAAAATATGAAATATAAATATGATTTTCTTCTTAAGTTTTACTAACTTCTTGAGTCTTTTTTTAATAAAAGTGAAAGTATAGAATAGATTTGTGAATTTGATGATAATTGGCGATATATTTAGCTAATAATCCAAAATCGAAGCCTTCATTTTGTTTCTTTATTAAATACTACGACGTATATTACTACTGAAATGTGGAACGAATAAATACATTCCAATATAAATATATTATGATCAAATACAACTCGATCTTTTTATCTTGCTCTGTTTTCATATGTTTATATTTTTAACCTTGTATTGCTTATGTATTTAAAAGATCACTATATTAGACTTCAACCCAATATTTAATGATGAAATAGAGTATAAATCAATGGTTGCTCTAAATAATTAGTTCTCTTTAGCTATGATAACTACTTTAGTCCTATACAGTTAGTTGTACTGACTTTCAAATGGTATTATTTTTTGTGACAACTTCGGTACGTTTCTAAAATATGAGATACTGTACATATCATTCATTTGATTGGACCACATCACTTTATCATTTTTAATTTAGATTTAAATAATTTGCAACATTCTCATTGGTTCATGTGGACAAATGTATAGTACCTTATGGGTATCATAGAATTTAGAGAAAACTCTCAAATAGACCCTCGTACTATGACCAATTCCTCAATTAAGCCCTTATACTTATTTATCACCCAATTAAACACCCGAACTCTTAAAAAGTGTTTAATTAAGCTAATTTGCAGGTAACCAGCCAGTTTCCCGGTTAGCTACCCGCGTGGCAGTCCACGTGGCAGACACATGGCAATTATTTTAGTTTTCATGAATGTGTTGACTATAATGACTGCAAGCAAGACTTCATCTGAGTAGTTCCACACTTCCACCGCACCAGTTCCCCTTGCTTAATTCATCATTCTCCTGGACTGCCAACTACCAATAGTTCATCTGCAAGCAAGACTTCATCTGCCAACTACTACGTACCATTTTCATGAATGACATCTTCCTTTCTACCATCTTTCTTGTACAATTACCTCCCTCCCTCCCTCTTCGTCCCAAAATGTCACGCTAGACTACAAGGAGGAGCATCACAGCATACCAAACTCGCCGGAAATCGAGTAGAGATGAAGGTGGTGGCCGCCGTCGATCTCCACCGGTGGAACCTACTGCCAATCGGAGTCTTCCTCAATGTTGCCAGAAAATTTCAACCTAAATTACACCATCTCATCTTCTTGCACTCCATATTCCCGAATCCCGGGTCCACGGCTAGGTTAAAAAACGGGTCGTCCAGCTCTGTGAGTGACCCCTTGCCACCGCGACTTCCCCTTCTTGGCCCATCGGATCCTTTCCCGAGAAAACAGGAAGTTGAGGACGCCGCCGTCCAGCTTCATTCCGTCTAACCCTTCCAACCCGAATCGCCATTCTATGCATTGTTGTTCCGCCCTCGTTGTCTCCGCCAAAGAACACGCTGTCGAGAAAGAAGGGGACGGCCGGAAATTCTAGGCAAGTAGGGAAGGAAGGAAGTGGGAGAAAGGAAAGACAAAGGGAGACAAAAGTTGCAGGCCTACGGCTTACCACCGGGGAAGGAAGAGAAGGAAAAGAAAGAAAGAAAGAAAGAAAGAAAGAAAGAAAGAAGGGGAAAAGAAAAAAGAGAAAAAGAAATAAAAGGAAAAAAAAGGAAAATGACATTTGTCCGCCACGTAGACTGCCACGCGGGTAGCTAACCGGGAAACTGGTTGATTACCTGCTAATTAGCTTAATTGAACACTTTTTAAGAGTTCGGGTGTTTAATTGGGTGATAAATAAGTACGCAGGCTTAATTGAGGAATTGATCAAAGTACGAGGGCCTATTTGAGAGTTTTCTCTAGAATTTACCATTATTTTTTCTTTGAAACACGTCGATTTCTTGGAGTACTTTGCATCAAAGCTAGCCACTTCTCGTATTAAGGCAGTGAAGGCAGCGTTTGCAAACTGTTCAAAAACGCTTCTCGACTTTGTTGCTTAAAAAAACTAAAAAAAGCGTTTTCCTATAACAATTATGTTTAAATTAAACACTTAAAAACTAAAAGGTAGAATCTAATTTTTAATTTTTCTAGTACACAAAAACACATATTTTACGAAACACTATCAACTTTTACTTTTCAAAATCAATATTTTCTTCAAAAACTACCAATTTTTACTATTAAGGGTTTGTTTGCAATCAATTAAAAAAGTGCTTTTAACTTTTTAAAGTGCTATAAATTTTTTGTCTGCATTCTAATGTTTCCATAAAAGTATTCAAATTAATAACTTTTTATTATCTTTTCTTCTTTTATATGACACTAATACTTCATATAATTACTTATTTGTACAGTTCTATATGTAATTCTCCGTATACTATATGTTCAATATTTAATTTGTTTTTTTACTTACATACGTAACATTTAGTTTTTTTGGTTTCACGTAGCATTCAGCTATAAAAAGGAAAAATGAGAAAAAATAGTAATTCTAATTTCAAAGCAAATTAATAGTGAATTTAAATTTTTTATTTTACAAATATGCATTCTCAAATTTTTTAAAAAATACTCTCTCCGTTCTTTAATATTAGTCCTCCTAGGCTTTGGCACGAGTTTTAAGAGGAAAATAGTAGGGGTAGTGTAAAAGGTGTAATGAATAGTGGGTAAATGAAAAAGTAGGAAAGAGAAAGGGGTAATGGTAATAAAAGTTGGGGTATAAAGGTATATTTAGAGTAAAAACTTTCCTTAAATGGAAAGGAGGACAGATAAAAAAAACGTCCCAAAAAGGAAAGAAGGACTAATAAAAAAGAACGGAGGTAGTAATACGTAGTAATAATGAAATTAAGATAATGACGGTCAAAGTTGTGCGGTGACAAACGTGAAAATGAGAATATTGCAACTAAAAAAATGGAGGAAATATAAGCTAAGTGACTAATAATTGAGCGAGAGAATTTTTCTCTCATATGTGGTGCTTTTAGGTATAAAATTAGTGGACTAATAATTGAGTGGAAAAATTTTCTCTATAACATATAGTGCTTTTAGATATAAGATGCATAAGCGGACTAATAAGTGAGCAATAGATTTTATTCTCTCATATATAGTTCTTTTAGGTATATAAGATAAACAAACTAAAAATTGGGCAGATGAATTTTTATCTCTCATATATATTGTTTTTAGGTGTAAGATAATTTCAGGTATGGGATGAAATAAGTTGAGTAATAGCTAGGCGGGAGAAATTTCTCTCTCATATGTATTGATTTTAGATATAAGATAAGATAAGTAAATCAATAAGCGAGCGTGGTAATTTTCTCTCTCATATGAGTCATGTGTAGTGCTTTTAGGTATAAGCTAATGGCAAAATATATCGTACAAACCGGTTGTAACGTCCACACAGTACAACCCTGGAATAAAATATTTTATCAATCCTACAACTAAAATATCTAATATTATTTTCATTTTTTAGATTCCACTACCTTTAAAATCTAGCAAATGAAAATGATAATTACATCGGGTGCCAATAAAATAGAACTTCTAAATTATTTTAATTTAATTTTTATTATTTTAAGAGAAAGGGACGCATATGAAATTATTCTCATATATAGTTCTTTTAGGTATATAAGATAAACGGACTAAAAATTGAGAAGGTGAATTTTTATCTCTCATATATATTGTTTTTAGGTGTAAGATAATTTTAGGTATGGGATGAGATGAGTTGAGTAATAGCTGAGTGAGAGAGTTTTCTCTCTCATATGTATTGATTTTAGGTATAGGATAAGATAAGTAAACTAATAAGCGAGCGTGATAATTTTCTTTCTCATATGAGTCATATGTAGTGCTTTAAGGTACAAGCTAATGATAAAATACATCGTACAAATTGATTGTAACGTCCACACGGTACAACCCTGCAATAAAATAATTTATCAACCCTACAATTAATAAATATCTAATATTATTTTCATATTTTAGATTGCACTACATTTAAAATATAGCAAATGAAATGATAATTACATCGTGTGCCAATAAAATAGAACTTCTAAATTATTTTAATTTAATATTTGAGAAAGGGACACATATGAAATTATTGATTTAACATTTTTAGTTTGTTTTAAACTGGTCTGATCTATTTAAGTTTAGTTTGATTTGGTTTGTTTAACATATTCTAAGCGGACTAATACTTGAGAGGGAGAATCTTCTCTCTCACACACAGTGATTTAAGATATAAGAAGCTAAATAGACTAATAATTGAGTGCGAGAACTTTTCCTCATATGTCATGCTTTCAGGTATAAGTTAAGCGGTCTAATAAGTGACCGCGATAATTTTATCTCTCATATGTAGTACTTTTTAGATACTAGGTATACCTAAACGGACAAATAATTGAATGAGACATTTTTCTCTCTCATTTGCGGTGCTTTTAGGTATAACATTGCAAATTTACATTCTCAAAATTTAAAAAATATCGAATTTAATATAATGACGGTCAAAGTTGTGTGGTGGCAAACGTGAAAATGAGAATGTTGCACCTAAAAAACAGAGGAAGTATGAGCTAAGTGGACTAATAATTGAGCCATAAATTTCTTTCTCTCATATGTAGTGCTTGTAGGTGTAAAATAATTGGACTAATAATTGAGTGTAAAAATTTTATCCATCACATATACTGCTTTTAGATATAAGATGAGTTTGGATATAAGATGAGCTGACTAATATCTGAAAAATAGAATTTCATCTCTCATATATAGAGATTTTAAGTATATAAGATAAACGGACTAATAATTGAGCGGATGAATTTTACCTCTTAAATATTGTTTTTGGGTGTAAGATAATTTTAGGTATGAGATGAGATAAGTTGAGTAATTGCTCGGCGGGATAATTTTCTCTCTCATATGTAGTGATTTTAAGCATAGGATAAACAAACAAATAAGTGAGCCGTGTAATTTTCTCTCTCTAATAAGCCATATGTAATGGTTTTAGATATAAGATAAGGGCAAAATATACTATACAAGCCGGTTGTAATGTCCACAGGGTACAACCAAGTATTTTATGTTAAAATAAATGGGCATAAAATTTTAACAAAATGAGTATTGATAATAAATTAAATTATAAAATCAGTACAATAAATATTTGGATGATAATACAATGATAAGATAGTTAAATGAATAAGTTTATTTGTAGCTCAGCTGGTCACCGACTCACTCTCCCTTACGGGAGTTCTTGGCTTCGAAACTCAATAGAGTGGGTTTCAGCCCTGATTACTCTGGGGGCCAACCCCTTCCCTAGACGCCCCCTAGAGTCAAAAAAAATATTTATAGCATATATATCACGTGTAGATCATGATACTCAATGACATGTTTCTAATTATCAATTGTGCTACCAATACAGTGATTTAACACCAATATCATTATTTTTTTCCAACGTTATACTCATTAATTATCCAAAAAAACGTTATACTCATTAAGCATAACATGAAATATGTGGTTGTACGTCGAACACTGTAGAACTGTGTGTACACTGTAGCTCTCATAAGATTTTTATGAGAAAAAAAACTAATAATTGAGTGAAATAATTTTTTCTCCTATGTAATACTTTTATATATTTCGTATAAGATAAGATAAGCAAACTAATAATTGATTAGGAGAATTTTCTTTCTCATATGTAGTGTTTTTAGGTACAAGGTAAGCAGACTAATAACTAGGTGGAAGATTTTCCTCTCACATATGTAGTGCTTTTAGATATAAGATAAGCGGATTAATAATTGAGTAGGAAAATGTTCTCTCTCATATGTAGTGCGAGGAAATTTTCTCTCTCATATATAGTGCTTTTACTTAAGATTACATATAAGATAAGCGGAATAATTATTGAGCAGAAGAATTTTCTCTCTCACATATATATGTAGTAATTTCAGTTATAAGAAAAGCGTACTAATAAGTGAGAGAGAGTATTTTCTTTCATTTGTAGTGTTTTTAGGTAAAAGATAAGCGAACTAATAATTGAACGGAAGAAGTTTCCTCTCATATGTAGCACTTTTAGGTATAACTGTATAAGATAAGCGCACTAATAATTGAGCGATAGGGTTTTCTCTCTCATATGTTGTAATTTTAGGTATAAGATGCGCAGACTAACAATTGAACGGGGAAATTTTCTGTCTCATACGTAATAGTTTTAGGTATAAGAAGATAAGTACACTAAAAATTGAGCGGAAGAATATTTTCTCATATGTAGCGCTTCTAGGTATAAGATAAGCGAACTAGCTAATAAGTGAGCTGAACAATTTTCTATCTCATATGTAGTGTTTTTAGATACTAATCTCAAAAGTTATTTTATTTTAATATTTGATTAGATCATGAGTAAATATATATGTACCTATTGCTCTTTCCCGTGCGTATGCACGGGTACTATACTAGTTTTCTTTGAAACACGTCGATTTCTTGGAGTACATTGCATCAAAGCTAGCCACTTCTCGTATTAAGGCAGTGAAGGCAGCGTTTGCAAACTGTTCAAAAACGCTTCTCGACTTTGTTGCTTAAAAAAACTAAAAAAAGCGTTTTCCTATGACAATTATGTTTAAATTAAACACTTAAAAACTAAAAGGTAGAATCTAATTTTTAATTTTTCTAGTACACAAAAACACATATTTTACGAAACACTATCAACTTTTACTTTTCAAAATCAATATTTTCTTCAAAAACTACCAATTTTTACTATTAAGGGTTTGTTTGCAATCAATTAAAAAAGTGCTTTTAACTTTTTTTTAAGAAAAAAGCATTTATTTTACCAAACACTACCAACTTTTACTTTCTCGCCTTCCGTGAGGAATCTACTTTTTACTTTTCTATTACACAAAAAACACTTATTTTACCAAACACTACCAACTTTTACTACTAATCACTTTTTCCCCAAACGTGCTTTTATTTAAGCACAAGTGGTTGCAAACAAAGCCTAAGTATCTTTTCCAAAATTACTTTAAAAAGTGAATTATAAAATAGTTAGGTCTCATTTTAGACTTTTAGGATGTTTTGACTTCGACTGTTTTAAGTCTCCGATCAAACTTAAACAGATCAGATCAGATCAGACCAAACTTAATGTGTGTTTGTCATTGCTTAAATTAAGTGCTTTTTGGCTTTTAGATTAAAAAAAGTTAAAAGAGATGTTTGGTAATCCCAACTTTTGATTAAAAGAAGCACTTTACTCTCGTTTAAAGATGGAGTTCTCTAAAAATGGAGATGTAGTAAAGAAGACCTTACCCCGGCAACCAGAAGAGTGGTATGGATTGCCGCCATAACCGTCCTTGCATTTGCAATTGTACCCAGACATGAATTCCGTGTCGACACACTCTGTGTTGTTGCCGCAAACATATCGTCCATCCTCCTTATCAGCACTTTTACAGGTCTGGTTCTGATCCCCGACCGCCCAATATATGACCAAAGGCGCCGAGCCAAACCTCAGACGTGTGAGATCCTCCGGGATGAAATCATACCACCCATCTTTCGCCACAAAACAATAGCTGCAGTTGTTGAATTTCCACACATTTTTGTTGAATTCAAAAGTACTGGCGTTGGCCTTGATGCTCCTCAACCCGATCGCCGGAATATCCGTCTGGCAACACCCCCACCCAGAGCAGTTCCTGGCGTCCTTCTTTTCCGGTGGTCTGTCACAAGACTGCCCGCACCCATTTGAGAAATCAATGTCCCCCTTCAAGCTCTTGAAAACCCCGTAAGTGTTGCAGCCGACGGAGAAGAGCGTGTTTGATTTGCTGGAAACGGTGAAGGCGTCTGGCAGTTTAAGCGAGGCCGGTTCGGAGACGACCTTTTGGCCGGATTCGTTGTGGCATTCGCGGGATACTGGCATCAGAATATCCATCTCCCCTTTGCTGTAATCAATGGCTGTGATTTGAGTGCCGGGGGGCTGGGTCGTCCACAGATTTGACTTCCAGTCGCAGCTCAGCTTAAATCCTTCGTGCAAGTAACTGTTCTTCCCGAAGCCGAACGGGTACTGTATCGTAATATTTCCGCACTCGCTCCGTCCAGCTCCTCCCGATTTGGTCTTCTCCCCGCCGCCCGCCGCCGTGGCAAATCCAATCCACAGCAACGCAGCTACCGTTGCGGCGGCCAGCTTCATTACCACCCTCATCGCACTCCTCATTTCGGCAGTTCGTGCTTCTATTGTAAACAGCTGTTATTACAGTAGTATTAAAGAAATTGCTTCAAAATAGGCTGCCACTGCACATGGGTGAAGTCACCTATTGTACTACGCGATTGTCCTTCTCCATGAATGCATACAGTACGAACCCATGCTTCAAACGCACTTGTATTGAGTCTTCTACGGAATCATGCGCGTGATTGTCCTTCTCCTTTCACATACACCTGTGTTTTTGGTTAAGTACGATACAAACAAATAGGCGCCAATAAATTCAAGTTTTTTTGTATTAATGCTAATTAATTAAATATTTACGAAAATATGGTTGAGTTAAAAGTATTTACGGATATACTGCTGGGCTTAACCCTAGTCAGGGTAAGTCGCCAAACCGTTTGGCGAATTATAAGTCGCCCAACCGGATGGTGACAGGTGACTTATAAGTCGCCCAACGGTTTGGTGACTTACGCATAAATTAAAAAACCGGGTTAAGTTATAAAAAAAAGAGGGGCAAAATTGTCTTTTGAGACCCGCTGAATTTTATGACTATCGTGTCCGCAGGTTGCCCGCGCAGAGGGGTGCAAATTTTCGATTCTGAACTAGAAGCCAGAATTCTTGTGTGCGCAAGAGCATCCCTCTTCTCATTCACATTTTAATACTAAGTGAAGAGTGGTTCATATTTATAGGCTCAAAAATTCCCAAGGAGTTTAGGTGTGGGAAAGTTTAAAAGATTTCAAGGTCTAGGAATTTGCAGAAAATTTCAATCAACCTCACGTCTACGGTCAACATTCAACAATCAGCAATGATGTCTCTAACTGATCATCAATGTGTAAGAACAAATGCGCTAAAGTTTCTGATGAGTCTGAGATAAGCAAATTTGACAACCAACAAATACTCACATCTACTTTAATTTCCTTTTTGCACATGTCAGCTTCAGGCCCACTGCCCGCACATGCCACTTCCGCAGCAGAGGCAATTGCCCTCCTATAGATGGCTCCCCTCCACTTTGAGACCTTGCTATACTTTTTTTTCCTATGGATGAAGGTGAGAAAGAGGTTGGACGAAGGTGAGCAAGAGTTGGACGATGGTGTCTGACGAAGGCAGGCGGCTGGGCGGCGATAGCAGGCGGCTGGACGGCAGGACCATGTGAGATTGGACGAAGTGCGGCTGTGGGCTGGGCATCGGTATGTAGGGATGAGATGGGTGGACAAGGGAGAAAAGGAATAGGATGCTATGGGTTTTATAATAAAGAGAAAAGGGTCATATAAGACCATGTACTTATCCGGAAAGGTCACTTAAGACCTTCTACCCTTAAAAACATCACATAAATACACATACTTGTTAAAAAGAAGCACATAGGTCAGATTACCTATAAATGACCTGCAGATCCAGGTAGCATGATACGTTGTAAAAAAATATTCCAACGTGTAAAGTATACCAGCGTGTAAATCACCTTACTCCTGGACCACATCGGACGAACAGAGATTTCCCCAAATGAGAAAAGTTGTCTCTTCACTGCTACTGAGCTAGGGATTTTGATTCGAAATTTGAAACGCCCAAACCATTCGGTCCATGGCCAACGACGAGGGTTTAGATCGCGAGTGGTGAGCGCGAAGCTAAGCACGACTTCATCACAGTTACTGAATTTCAGGTTCTTAATTTTGACTCTCTTTTAAATTCTAATTTGGGAGTTTTAGTTTGTGTATTGAAGTTTGGCTGATTATGTTCTGACTCCTACGTACTCCCAAATTTGTGGTCGTTTGGTAGGTTTTATTGGCTAGTAAAAATCTGCCATATATGTGTTTAGTTATCTGCAACGGTTAATGGCTTCGAAGTTAGTTTTTGTGTGACTTGGTTTCCTCTATTTGCTTGGGGATGCATGTAAAACCTTAAAATTTCTTATTCTGGGTTGAAAAGAGTTAAAATGTTCAGGGAAAACCTAAAATCAAAAAATACAATCAGTGTTGCACTTAAAATTTAATAAAAATAGTGAATTTGAACAAAACATCACTCGAGCACTATAGCAGATTTATTTATATTTGAATCCATATATTTTGGGTTTAAGACTAATGATTACTAAAAAAAGTCACACTTCATTCAAGCTCTTTGACTATTTGTTTACATTGGTGATAGTTGTACTCTATATACAGCCATTCTTGTGCAGTGAAACGTTCAAAGGTTTTGAATAGATTTATGAATTTGTCTAGAGGATTGCATTCCATAATACGGAGTATTTGTTTTTGGTTTCAGAATGTATTTGGAAGTTGAATTACGGATACACCACGGTGGGAATTTTATCAAAGATCCAGACTTGTCCTATGTTGATGGTGATATAGAAATTGTAACTCTTGATCCAGATAGGATTTCCTATCATCACTTGCTGAAATATATGACTACTGATGCATATAAAAAGGTGGAGTCATTATACGAAGCAGAAGAACCCTAGATCCTGGGTTTGATGCATAAACATAAGCCGAAGGGATGACTAAATTAGAACCAACGTAAAATGTCCCTGCACCCATGTCCTTTAAACACTCCAACTAGGTGGCCAGGTGTTAAAAATGTTTGTTCTGGGTTAAACGACCTCCACGTAACCTTTTAACCGGGGCTAGCAGGTTATTTGCTAGTCAGTTGTACTCATATGATTCTTTTTAACATGTATGTGTATTTATGTGATGTTTTTAAGGGTAGAAGGTCTTAAGTGACCGTTCCAGATAAGTACATGGTCTTATGTGACCCTTTTCTCTAAAATAAAACCTAAGTGCATATTAGTCCATAAAAATATTTATTTAATTATTTATTAATATATTAATTAAATATGACGAATTTTAATTATATTTTGAGAAAAAAACTCATTAGGTCATAGATTGAAAAAGTCATGAAATTTTAGTCATATCTAGGATAATTATCTCTATTATTATATATTGAAAGAATCCTCTTAAAATTTCCTCTTAAGAACACTTGCTAACTCATAGGGCATGTTTGGCACAACTAGCTGAAAAGATACTTTTGTGAGCTTTTTAATAGCGGTTAGCTTTTAGTGACTGAAAAGATCTTAAAAAGAAAAGGTGGTAGCTGTTTGATAAAAAGCTGACTGTTTGATTTAGTTCGGTTTGGTATACAAGCTGTTAGGATTAATTAATACTAAAAGTCACTAGCTTTTCTTAGATGTTACTCCCGGTAACATCTCAAAAAAAATCTTTTAATTTTTGAAAAGCTCTTAAATATTGTCATGCCAAACACACAACTAGAAGCGTTTAGGAACTTTTTGAACAGTACAAAAGTTAGAAGTGGGGGACTTATGCCCGCCAAACATAGTCATAGTCTCATACGTACGTAGTATTAATGAGTGTTCAAGTTTAGATCAAACACTAATACCATTACCTAATTCACATCTTTATACACACGATATACTTTTTTATTCTAAAATATTTTTAAAAAAACGTTCTAATTTTATTCTTTTTCTTCTTCAAAAATATTCTATTTTATTCATGGAATACACGACATACTTATTAATATGGCCACAAGTCCCACAACAATAATTGACGTGTAATCATTTTTTTAGATTAATTATATTTTAGATTGGAAAGAATAAACGACGGGTTTAATTTATATATTTTTGAAATATATAATCCCTTTTTGGTATATATGATTGATCATTTTAAAATAAATATTATCTCAAATTATGGAAGAAGCAATAATATCAACAACAGTAAATATTATAGGCGGTGTGACTCTCATCGTGATGAAAAGCTATATATAAAAATGGAAATATGTCCAATGTTATTAATTAGTACGTACTCTACGTAGTAATATTTAAATTTTACAATATGTGTGTGCTCAAGATATACGAAACAGTAATTGGGAAATGTACTTGAAGTCTTGAACTAATTAGTAATGAATCAATCAAGGGTCATGAACAAGGAATAAACAAAATGATTTCACAAAAAAAGTAAATGCATCATAGTGTTCGAGTTGCTTGGTCATATGCAAAATAGTATAGTTTCAAAAAGTGGCAAATGTACTTTTAGAAAAAGCAAGAGTCAAGGGCATCGTGCAAAATCATTAGGTTTTCTTGTTAGATTATTGGACTTATACTACATACTTCGTAAAATATTCACAATATATTATTTATTGGGTTAATTGTATGTTATATGTTATCTTATGTTAGGCCCAAAAATTAGTTGTTCTATGGATATTAATTTAAGTAAGCTAATAAGTTATCTAATAAGGTATAGGGCCCAAATGTGTAGAGACCCACGGGCTTAACCTAATTAATGATGGACTGATTAGGGTTAAACATTCTCTATAAAAAGAGGGGTTATGGTCTCTAGTTGAACATGTCATTCCTTCTTTCTGCATCCCATCGCTAGAGAGAGAATTCACGATGGTGTGTATCAACTAGAAGACACAAACCCTAGCCTCCGTCTTCCGGATCTCAATCATCTCTTATGGAGTCAGGTACGCTTCCGCTCAGTTAACTCTCTAGATAATTCCAATATGAAGATCAAAGTATTATCGGATTTATTCCAACAATTGGTATCAGAGCCTTCTTCATATTGAATTATTTGGAGTTTTCATACTTTTGATTCAATCTTAAACGATTGATTTTTGGTTTTTGTTTTGTCGTATAACCTGCCGATTTGGAGTATTCGATGTATTCGTTGGATCGGCTTGATGATTAAGCGAAACAATATGTTTTCGTTGGACTCTTTAATTAATTGAAATCGGCAATTCAAATATTGAAGTTTTCTATTTACATGTTATTCTGACACGTTTGGGATGCTATTCTATTTTTTTTTAATAAAGGATGCTATTCTAATTTGAAACACGTTTTTTCAATATTGCGATTGAATCCATTAGCTTCTTGAATGGATTCTGTTCTTCGGTTGCTCCAGATTTTAGCTATGATCCAATTTTTACTTCGATTGTAACAGATCTTATTTTCTTTCTGTATCAACTCACATATATGGAATCATTAAGTGGTGTAATCTGTTTTCTTTCTGTATCAACCGACATATACGGATCTAATTTATGTTTTGGAATCTGTGTTTTGCTACGTAAGGCAATTTCAAACTAAGGCAATTCAAAGATGATTCATAATGAATCATAATTTCAGTTCCTTTAAGGAATTAGGCCTTTAGTTTACGTATTTGTTTGTTCTTGATTTGGAATCGTTTTTTGAGTCTGCCGAAGTATGTGGTAATGGTAATAATAAAAGTATCACTTTAGATATGAGTGGCTCTTTATTCTTGATTGTTGGTGAAGGGCTTAGTTCATTATTGCGCAGATATGAGTCGATAGGTAGCTTACATGGGGTTTCTATTGCCCGTGGGGCTCCTATGATCTCACACTTATTTTTGCAGATGATAGGTTATTATTTTTTAGAGCGAATCACGGTGAAGCATCTTTGATCAAGGAGGCGCTGTCTGACTATGAAAGGGCCTCGGGTCAGGTAATCAATTTTAATAAATCCAAAGTTTTCTTTAGTAGCAATGTGGCAGTGGACTGTCGGGAGGGTCTGATTGAGTTGTTGGGCGTTGGCTGAACGGGTCAGGAGAAAAAATATTTGGGTTTACCAGCATTGGTGGGGAGGAGTAGAAAAATATGTTGGGTTACCTTAGAGAGCGGGTGGTTAACCGAATTAATAATTGGAATAATAAATTTTTATCAAAGGTGGGTAGGGAAATTTTGTTGAAGGCTGTTATTCAGGCCATGCCGACCTATGCCATGAATGTTTTCTTATTGTCAATTGAGCTATGCCGCGAGATTAAAGTGATTATGAACAGTTACTGGTGGAAGGGGAAGGCAGGCAGGGGAATTCATTGGAAAGATTGGGCTTCTTTATGCTTGCCGAAAAAAGTTGGAGGTATGGGTTTCAGGAGACTACGGGATTTTAATTTAGCCATGCTATCTAAACAAGCTTGGAGAATTTTCACGAACCCCAATTCTCTCGTGAGCAGGGTTCTAAAGGCCACATATTTTCCTAAGGGGAACTTTTTAAATGCTAGGCCAGGAAATAATCCTTCTTTTATCTGGCGGAGTGTGATTCACACTCAGGATATTATTCGGGAGGGTTATTACTGGAGGATTGGGGATGGACATTCAATCAATATTTGGGAGGAACCTTGGCTTCCGGATAGAAAGAATCCGAAAGTTATAACGGAGGTGGCGGAGGGGTTGAAGGGGGTTGTGGTGGCTAATCTTTTTGAAAACAATCATAAGGCTTGGGATATGGACATTATTAATGACATATTTGGAGCTTGAGATGCAGCTTCAATTCGCGGAATACCGCTTAGAAGAAACCAAATTCCAGATTCCTTGTGTTGGAAATGGGAGGAGAGTGGCCATTTCTCTGTTCGTAGTTGTTATCGGAGTTTGGTTGGTGAGTTGGGAGGTGCTAATTAGGGACTGGAGTGGACTGCTATGTGGGATTTAAAACTTCCACCTAAAATTAAAATATTTTTTTGGCAGGTTTGTAGCAGGTGTCTTCCATCGAGATTAAACTTGCAGGGACGACGGGTGGACAGTTAAGGGACATTGTGGCATGTGTGCAGCTCATCCGGAATCATTGGAGCACATCTTTTTTTACCCCGGAAGGCAAACCACCAAAATCAATGGGGTAAATGCCGGGGGACATTTACCAGGATTTTTTTGAAAACAAGAAGGGGTACAAAAGAGAGGGGGACCAAACCAAAACCTCCCGACAGAAAAATTGGGGGGACCAAACCTGACCCAAAAAAAAAACCAAAAATCATACAAATATTAATATTTAATCGAAGGAATGCCAAATTTATCCATATGAAATGCTTTTCTGGCCTGAATAGGTAAAGAGATTGGGCTGAGGAATGTTTTATCACGGCCCATGTGCTCAATAGCCAGAGCTTTCCTTTTTATCAGCAGAATCGTTTCCTGAATAATATCAGACCAACACCTAACCTTTCCTTCATTGAAGCACATCTTTAGGTTTTGTGCTGTGGCTAAAGAGTTCTGGGAAATTCTCTCTTAGGAGTGGAGCGCTGGGAATGGACTCCCTTTTCTGGAGCAAATCAACAAGGAGTTCCAGTCAAAGAGGAAGGAAGCTTTGGAGGTGCTGGTCTGGGGCTGCTGGGCTATTTGGTGCGAACGAAATCATCGGGTCTGGCAAGGGTTGTTTTCATCGGCCAGACAACTTACTTTTCGGGCCCAAGCTCTGGTGGATGGCTGGAAGCAAGCTCAACAACCTCGTAGCACATGGCAGCAGCAAGCACAACAGGGGAGCTTGTCTTGGCGCAAACCAACCCACGGAATGTTGAAATTAAATGTAGATGCAGCAGTTCGGGCAAAAGGATGATGGGTGGGTTGGTGTCTCCAGGACGACAGCGGCAGTTTTGTTGCAGGGGCTGCTCATCCATGGCCTGGGAATTTAACACCATTGGTGGCCGAACTGGTTGGGATCTGTGAGGCACTAAGTTGGCTAAAAGAGCAAAGGTGGACATTTGTTGAGGTAGAGACCGATGCATCTAGAGCTATAGTCGAGATTTTGAATGGATCCAGTTGTTCCATGGTGGGATTATTAAGTCAAGACATAAGAGATTTAGCGAATTCTTTTTCAAGTATTTCATTTTGTCATATTAAGCAGTCAGCAAATAAGACTGCCCATGTCTTGGCAAGAGCGGATTGTTCTTTGCCCGACTCGCGGTCTTGGTTCTTTATTCCTCTTCATTTATTGTATCGGCTCTGACCAACGATTTGATTAATGTTAATTAAGCCTCTTTTCTCCAAAAAAAAAGTTTCACTTTAGATTTTGATTTGTTTTCAATTTTCGGCTCTGGAAATTTGTATGGATTTGGTAATTATGTGCATATATGTGATTATTACCGGTTTTGGTAATAAAATACTTATATGTAATTACGGTCGATATCAGCTTTATCACAAATGCATAATTTTTAATATTACTGGAATTGATTATTATGTTGATCATCATTATTCGCGGCTTAAAAATATGTATTGTGTGTTATGGATGTGTAAACCCTATTTTCCGATCGCACAACGATTGGGTATGTGTTTTTTTTTTACAAATTATCGTTGTACATAACACATTTGAATGTGACTCAGGAAAATTTGCCCAATTTTATTTTTCAGGTTATTTGATTTAATATTAGCATGTCTAATATTTGGGTTGGTTAATTGACACAACATGCTGCCAAAGTAGTCTCTCTTGTTGAAATTAATTAACTCATATATTAAGATGATTGTGTACTTCTTATTTCATGCAGATAATAATCGGCCCAGAGGAAGATTATTATTTGGCCGAAATTTAAGTACATTTGTTATTATGAGGTTTTCATGTGAATATTAAGTCGGTCCAAAGAAAGGCTTAGTATTTGACATGATTTTACTATCAAAATTTTATTATTACACCAAGAGTACCACTTGCAAGTCTAATTTATGTCCAAAGACAAGATTAGATGTTGCGCTAGGTATCTTGTGATGGGAATTGCTAATATTTAAATTTAAAATTAATTATAAAGTTAATTTCAGTTTTTAGAGCATATAATTTATATTACTTTTTGTTCTCTTCCAGTCAACAATTCTGCTGCTACAATATCTGCTAATATTAATAGCATTCATGTGCTCAACGGCACGAATTTTAAGGAATGGAAAGAGGACGTTATGATTGTTCTCGGTTGCATGGATCTAGACCTTGCACTCCGGACTGAGAAAACCGTCGCTCTTAAGGATACATCTACCCTTGATGAAAAGAGGGAGATGGAGAGGTGGGAACCCTCAAACCGCATGAGTCTAATGATCATGAAACGTGCAATTCCAGAATCATTCAGTGGTACTATGTCTGATGAGGATGATGTCAAATCGTTCCTTGCCGAACTTGAAAAGCGTTATGCTAAAAACGAAAAGGCGGAAACTAGTACTCTTTTGAGCACTCTTGTTTCCATGAAGTACAAAGGCAAAGGGAACATAAGGGAGTACATCTTGGAGATGTCTCATATTGCTTCAAAACTAAGTGCACTTAAGCTTATTTTACCTGAGGAATTGCTTGGGTATTTAATTTTGATCTTTCTTCCTTCTCAATTTAATCAGTTTAAAGTCAGTTACAACTGCATTAAGGAGAAATGGTCTCTCAATGAGCTCATTTTCCATTGTGTTCAAGAGGAAGAGAGAATAAGGCAAGATAAGACTGAAAGTGCTCATCTACTTTAGTACTAATAAAGTAAAGTCATTTCAATTGAAATTGATTTCTACTTAAATTGCGATTGAGTACAATTATTAGAATTGATCATTTTTTAATTTTACCCATTATTGTTGACAATTAAAATTGAGTCAAGACAGATTTACTTACAACTCCGTATTAGTTATAGATAAACATGGAAGAGTGATAAGTCCGTATTTTGACACGTATTTGATGCGTGTTGAGATCGGCTTTTGATGATTTTCCTAGTTTTAAGGTGTTACAAGTCTCAATTTTAGCTTAAGTTATGTTTACCGGGCGTTGGTTCGAGTTTTGTGTTGTTTGTAGTCAAAATCAGGGAATTTGAGCCCGACACCGACACTTGAGGAACAATCGTGATGATTTGAGAAGCATTTGAGAATGATTTGATAGCTTTGGAGGTCACCGGAAGATTCACGATGAAGATTTGAAGGAAAAAAGAGCTCTAGGATTGGCTTCGGGACAAAAGAAGATGAATGAAGCTTGAAAACGACGATCAGAATGACCTTCTGTCAATCATTCAAGCATATCTCTTTGTAGAAACATCCAATGTACACGATTCAAGCTCCATAGGAAAGCCAACTTCAAGGGCTACAAATCATATGAAGACACATTTGCGAGAATCAGAGAGGAAGGAGGTGAAAACAGACGATGAAGTCAGATGATCTCTGCTGCGATTTCAGAAAGACACCTTCCACCGTTTTGATCATATCTCTTGATTGGATGATTCAAATCACATTCGGCAAATTGGGGTGGATAGAGGACTTCATTATCTACAACTTTCATGAAGGAAGTTTTGTCAAATTCGGAAGTTAAGTAGGCACGATCGTGCCCTCAAAGTCAGACACGATCGTGCGTGAAGAGAAAACACGGAGGAGTTACTGCCAGCCAGGCACGATCGTGCCTGGAGGGAGGCACGATCGTGCCTGCCCAAAATGCGCGTTTTTGCTCCGGAGGCACGATCGAAGGCACGATCGTGCCTGGCATCGTGCCTGGCTCCGAAAATCCTAATTCAGCTCAAATTTCACCCGATTTTTCTATTTAAACAGCCTGTAAACCCCCGTTTTCAAGGGGGAGCTTAGAGAGAGTGCCTAACACGAATTTTAGAGGGCTTTTCAGCCTTGTTCATCGATCTTTTGGGATTCTTTGTAAGTTCCACCTTTTTAATTAATGACAATTAATTCTTTTTATTCCAATTCTATTGATTCTTCAATTATGAATTGTGAGTAGTTTTAATTAGGAATTTGGGATTGATGAAGGGGTTAATCATGATGTATGGCTAGATTCTTTTCGGTTTAATTGCATAAATGCCGTTTAATTTGTGTTTGAATAATTTAATTGATATCTTTTGTAACCTAGAATCGCGACTAGAATTACAATTGCATGTAGAATAAATTAAGAGAGATCTAATTTGTTCTAGGACACATTCACACACACTTAATCGTTCGCTAAGAGATTAGTAGCGATTAAGGGGCCGTAAGCTCGCTCGTTTTGGCAATAATTTAGGATCTTGTCGCATGAGAGATCAGCCTGGTCCCCTAAATTATTGTACTCTACGCCGCGAGAGCGGTAAGAACTTAGTAATGATTAGCTAGGCTCAATTAAATTAATTTCATGTAATTAGGCCTGATCTGCCAGAAATCTGGTTACCCTGGAATCGATCCCTGTTCCCTTCGTCATTAATTAGAAAGAACCCCCTAGTTTAATTGTTCGCATTAGTTTTATTTTCCAAACCAACCAATCTCGCACGTCGCTTTTATTTTATTTTCTTTTTAATCGCTGAATTTAATTAATTCTTGATTCCTTTTTGTCCGTCCCTGTGGAGACGATACTCGTACTTACACCACTATATTACGATCTATTTTAAGTGCGAGAAAACACTCATCAGTTTTTGGCGCCGTTGCCGGGGACGGTGTCGGTTTTAAGGGTTAATTAATTTCAGCGAGATTTTTTTTTAAGTTAGTTTTTTTTAGTTCTTCGTAGGATTTTTCTGTGCTAACCTTTCAGGTATTTTTCTAAGAGGCATGAGATGAACCTATTCAGCCAAATTCCTGGAGGAATTCCTTACCCTCAAACCTCCATGGAATATTCACCATATACGCCATACCCTCCTTACACTCCTCCTCCTCCTCCTCCTCAATATTACTCACCTCATCAAAATTACTCTCCTACACCACAAAATATTCAGCCTTCTTATCCGTACACTCCAACCACACAACCCTTTCATTCTGATTTTTACTATCCTTCATCACATTACCCTTGGGTAAGCGTAAGACGAGGCTCCATTCTTGAATTTATGCTTCTAAATAAAACGCCTGAGGAAATATCTGAATGTTTTAAGGGTAGCATTTGTTCCTTCTGTGGAGGAGGTCACCATTTATGTCTTTGCCCCATCAAACCTCTATATGACCATCCTTTCCGGGAAACTGCTTACCCCAATCCTTCCTCCCCACAATTTACGAACACAAATGTTTCAGTCACTCCTACGTCTTTGCCGAGCTATGAACCACAGGATGAATGGGAAGAGATAATTTCAGAGAAGCTGTCTGACCTGGAAGAAACACTCAAGCAATTCATGCAAACAAATGAGACAAATCAACAGTTAACACAGTCAAGACTTCAGAACATCCAGAATCACTTGGATCAACTGTTTAACGCCATATCTGAGGAGTCCGAGAGATCCCATCCTAGCGTCACAGAAGCCCAACCTGAGGAAACCAATATGGATGATCCTGTGAGTGAGTCGGACTGCGAAGGTGGGAATATGACGGATGATACACTTCCTGATGTTTTTGAAGACCCTGATGAGAACGCTCTTAACAAGAGTTGGGATTCCTTCATAGGGAGTGATACAGAGTCCAGAGGAGAGGTTGTGAATTTTCACGATATTTGTGAGGAAGAAGAAGACTTTTCTATGGTGCAGTTTGATTACGGTTGTTGAGGTTTATTCCTTCAACCCTTGGACCCAACACGTAAGCCCAAAGATTTCGAGTGGAGTGAGTATATGAATATCTAGCCCAACAACTATCAGATGGATCAAGAAACAAAAGAAATAGCAGGCAATGTAAATAGGTATTATTAACTTCGTAATAACTCCCCTAAGTACAATCTACTTGCTAAAAAAAGGCACGTCGGCCGTTCGTCTTACAAGGCAGTTAGAAATGCTGCGAGTAAGAAGGCTGAAGCTAGTATGCTAAGAATAGAAAGTTGCCAACCCTTTACAATGAAATAAATGCTTCTATTTATACCCGCCAATGGGCAGGTGGCTATACTGACGTGGCAGCCTGTGGACCGCTGGTGTCCCAACTACCAAATCTTTAGCATTAAATGCACTTCCCGCCAGAATCTAGGTTTCCCGCCGGATCAGTGGGGACGTTCGTCCACCCGGGAAGTGAGTTGGATTGCTCCAAGTGACCCTTGAGAGATACTGGCTGTTCGTCTCCTGGCCTTAATAGATACTCACCATGTGCACTGGGTTTTCTCCGATGACTACAGGCTTGCTCTGGGGAC